CAGTCAATTCCTGAAGGACCTAAATGGATATCTTTTGGATTTAGTATCTGACATGTATGATAAAGTAGGATTTGAAGATTACGCACTTGAGAAACTTTTAGACAAATTGAATCGAGAAATAATTCTCCAATGGACTTGCAAGTTAGATAAACCGGAATGTATCAAAAAATCTGTAGACCTATTTGCGGCTTGGCGCAACGATAGTACCAAACAGTAAGAACTCAACAATTTTTGATAAAAAATTATTATGTTTATGACACTTGTTATAATCCTATTTTAATCTTAAATATCTGACATACGTTTCCACGGCTCCGTCGAATATCTTACGTACAAAAGTATTTATACAAAAATCAAGAATTTCTATTTTAAAATTACAAAATATACTTACAACTTAAAATTATATGCACATATTGAAAATGAAAATGTTTTGACTTAAAATTATTTCGGAAAATTATAATATCTCGGAAAATTGTAGTGTGAAAACAAATTTTAGAAAAGATTTGAATTAAGTATAAATTTATGTTTATTAGATTTTAAATGATTGTGTGGAAACTAACAAACCTGATAGAGAATTAAATTTGTCTGTGTATCTTAATTATAAAATTTAGAATTTATTTTACAGTAGAATTTATAATTTTTATCTAAAAAAGATTTTCTTATTCACATAGAATTCCACGTAATGCACGACCAGCTGTTTATTGCACCGCAATAAAAGAAGGAAGCTCAAGTGATTGGGATTTCCTGTGGAATCATTATCGACATACAAACTTTGCATCAGAGAAAAAGATCATTATAGATGCACTCGGATGCTCGAATAATAAGACGGTACTCCAAAAGTAAGTTTCTACAAACAGAAGATGCAATAATGTTAACTAAAAAAAATATAATTTTAAAATTTATCAGTGTTCCAGTTTAACATACAATTGCAATATGTATATCTTCACAGAAATAATATTAAAAAGTTAATTTAATTTTTAATACTCTCCATAACTTCTGATAAAGTAATTAACTTAAAAAAATTAGCTATATAAATTGTTTGATTTTTTTTAATTTTCGTCAGTAAATATATTTATAAAAGTAAATATAAAATTAAGTCCATTTTATATTTATATTTTGAAGCTCGCTAAAAAATTATAAGAGTAAATAATCTCTCTGATTACTCAAATACATTATCAAATGATTTTATAATTGATGAATTCACGAGCAATTTGTTTAAACAGTTACTTAAAAGAAGCCATTAAAAAATACAATCCTACAAATGCTGACATTCGCCGACAAGATGTTTCTGCAGTGTTTACTTCCGTGTACAGCGCAGGTTCAGTGGGAGTAAACGTTACCCTTAACTTTTTAACAGAAAATATCGACACGCTGTACGATTAGTGAGTATTATTACAGCGTTATTGATTGCAATTTTAACAATAAAATTCTTACGTTTATACATTTTTTACGTTTTACAGTTTCCAAAAGTGGGACGATATCGCAAATTTGTTCGTTAATACCGCAGCGCATGTATCAACCGAGGTTGAATACGGACAGGTATGATTATTCAGAATTCTTATATTTAATGAACTGAAAGTAAGGAAAACAAAAGAGTTTAAAATTCTACAATGTGAAATTTAATCGAAGATTTTTACTTTTGCATATTGTTATATTAATTGAATTGCCTGTCAGTATCACAATTTTAAAATATTCTAGCATCATATTATTTACTGTTATGTTATTTACTTATTTAATTATTTTAAAAAGTGTAACCATTAGAAATTATAGATAATGTAATCGAGTAATGAAATAAATGAGACAATAATGTATTTCTTTCTCTTTTAGGCGAAATACTTCGTTGAACGTCATGAAAGGCGATTCCCTGAAAACCTCCAAGTGAGATTGCGTTCTGCTGTCACTACTGCGGAAAGTAATTTATTGTGGTTTAAAAATAATGGCTATAAAATTAGGCAATGGATAATGAGTCTAAATCCTGAAAAGCAAAAACCAGACAGTTCTACAAGAATAGAATCATTTAACATCGTTCTTACGACTCTCATTGCTTTAGTATCGTACCTTTTAAGCCGTTTCTAAATGAAAGACAACAACGAAGATTTTTCTTTAGATTTTTATCATGCAAAATGAAAAAAAATGTATTCTTATCCCTTGTTCCTTTTTATTTAATAATTTGTTTTTCTTTTTAAGCTAAGAACAGCGAAGTTATATTTTGTTTACACAATATTTTAATGTATTTAATGCAAAGAATTGTTATCTTTAATCGAGCTTTGTAATTAGGCAAGTAAATGTAAAATAAAAATAATAACAATTATATACCATTTATCAAAAAATTCTTTAATACTTTATTACAACCTAATTCATATCTCACAACTCTTAAATTAAAACACATTTTGGAAAGTTTATCAAATTCTTAAATAATACTTACAGAATTTAATTTATTTAATAAAACGTTAATATTAGCAATAAGAGCGATAATTATAAATTACTTTGTACTAATAATAATAATAAAACTAAATAGTTTTTGATTTTAATATGTCTAAGCATATTAATTAAAAAATTATTCTTTTTTATCTTATAATATTCACTTGGTAAATTTTAAAATTTAATAGTAAGGAAGTATAATTTTTCTTTATTAATAAAAAAAATGTATATGATAAATTTTCCAATCAAAAGCAGTATTATACTTTACATAGATTTTTGTTGTTATGAAATACAAAAAGAATGTCCATCCACTCACACTTCGACATCGCAGAAGAGAACCGATAATTTTTGATCGACATCGATATCGATCGATTGAAAATCGGTATTATACGATGTTTTTCCATAATTAATCGGAAATCTTCTCGCTTGTCAAGCCATCATATGTTACGTTGCGCATACTCTATTGCATGCTGCGTGTTTTACGCCACGGTACTAAAGTCATCCAGGTGATCTCTTGTAAACTCTATCATCTAAAAAAATAACATAAAAAATGATTATATTACAAGTTATTTTTTCTCAAGAAAGTAATAAGATTTTTATGGAAATTGATTACACATGCCCATTTATTTGTCAAATTTATCAAAGAACAATATTAACATTTTTATGTCATGTTTCTCGTTTAAATTATTTTAAAATTTATGATTCAAATTACTTTCAATATATAAAAACATTTTAATACATCTACTTTATTTTGCAACTTACATCTTTCAGTTTATACTCTGTATTTATTTTATATGTTGCCGGGATTATGATGCTACTCATAGTTGACTTTAATTAACCAAAACTGGAAATGATAAAAAATTCATGTTATCAAGTTTTTAAAAATATAATTCGACAACATAAATCCATAACAATTAATTTAAACCATAATAGAAGCTAAGAAGCTTCGATCTTCACCAGCTGCGCAGAATTAATTAATATTAATTGAATTGAATAAAAAGTAATTTTGTATTTTTAAGTCAAATTAGATCGGAAGAGC